ACTCCTTCGCTGTATCCAGCGGATCAGTGAGTGGATGCAATGCAATTTTCTCCAGCTAAATGCGGACAAAACCGAAATGATTGTCTTTGGTCCCGAGAAACAAAGAGAGACCGTCATTTGTCACCTTCAGTCTCTCTCCCTAAGGCCTTTAAATAAGGTCAGAAATCTGGGAGTAATAATGGACTCTGACTTAAACTTCAATAGCCACATTGGATCGGTAACATCAGCAGCTTTTTATCATCTGAAAAATATTGCCAAAATTAAAAATATTGTGTCCAAAGCAGACTTGGAGATTCTTATCCATTCTTTTGTTTCCAGTAGGCTGGATTACTGCAATGGCCTGCTCACAGGTACACTGCAAATTTTCTGGGACTAGGTAAGATAGTAAATCTTAATTCTAGCCATGCTAGATTATTTATCTAGTTTCAAAAGTTATTTACTTGTTTTAAGGTGCCGACTTTGCGGTCTTGTCTTATTTTAAGCATGAACAATACCTTTTTATCTTGTTGAGTTTATAACTCTTAAAACAGTATTTTTAAGGGTTGAAATAAGATATTATTGACTTCCACATATAAAAGCTAACCCCAAACCTTAAAAAAGACTACATTTAAGATCTTAAAATAAGTGTTAATCTCTAATAGTAATTTGAGAGACTTTAGTCAGGAAACACAATAAAGATGAGGGGTCAATATTTTTTCAATCCTATCCTATACTGAAAACGTATGAGCATTCATTGTCATATTGTCTAGTCTTGGACACTAAAAAAGTATCTTACTGGTAATATAAAAATGTGTGTGAGTTTAAGATGAAAAGACAAGAATCATTGTGCAGGTTTATTTGTCTGCAAATTAACTAAAGACATTGAAGATGTTATACCACTGAAGTCAACAGCTTTGAATTTGGGCTGGATAATATTGTATAAAAGAAACGCAAATGTACACACATGAAAAATACAACCATATTGTAATTAACAACAATAGATCCAAACTATAGTCTAGACTGAATCACAGGCTGATTTTGCTGAACAATAACATCACATAGACTATATTTTAGGTGCACAAACTCGCTCGCTCTAAAACTAACAGAAAAATAAGACGTATAATCTAAGAGGTCACTCACAAATTCTGTCGCCTGGGCCAGAGCAGGAACTGAAACCTTGTACGCAAACAGAGACATACGCCTTGCTCCACCTCGCTTGACCCAGACAATCTTTTTGGAAACAACTACTTCCTCTGGACTCACTGGATTCAAGTTTTTCCTGTAGGTCTTGTTTTGTCCAGTTGCGCTGGTTGAAAATGGATCCACAAAAGTGTCAAATATGGACATTGCTTCATTTTGAAGCTGAGGGCTCCTCTCAGAGTGCCCATCAAAAACTCCCCTCATTCTCTCCCGGAGCACATTGATGAGAACAGCCTGATATTGCTGCACCCCTGAGATGATGTTGTTCACAGTTCTCTGAAAAAAGAAAGTTTTCATTTTAAAAAGCTGAACCAATTAATAAAGAACAAACAAGGTTGATATACCCAAGGTTGATATACCCAAACTTAAATGTATCCCACTTAAAAGTAGCAATATGTAAGATTTTCATGTCAAGTCATCATTAAAAGGGCCCTAATATGTCAAAACACATTAATAAACCTGCTCTTTTCCAATATTTCTTTAACTGATAACAGTAGTTATCAGTTCAGAGATTGTTATTGTTTTCATTTTGATGTCCCGCCCTCCACCGTTTCACCAATCAGAAAGTCTGTGATCCGAGTTGCCAGAACTCACAGCATCGAGCTAATCTCACTGGTTAAGTAACATGTGGCCGCAGAACTAAAGAAGGTGTTGTTAGGATTCTCAATTCGTTAATATCAAAACTAGGAATAATATAAGGATTTATATATCGGGTCCTTTATGAAAAAGGTGTTTGTATAGATTTTTTGTTGACCAAACACTTGTCTATTCAGCTGTTATGGTCCCAGCTAGATTCGTCTGCATATCTGGTAACTTGAGTCAGGGAGAGTGGGAGAGGATGCAGTACCACTTGTGGCCACATTTTTACATACTGCTCCTTAAAAACCATATCAAATTAAAATCTATAGATAATATATACAAATTATTGTATAATTGTTTGAAATATTGAATTCAAGTAACTATTCAAATGTAATATAGTATTTGATAATGACTATGGTTGAAAAAGTATTTAAAAAATCTCACATTCATCAACTTACTTGTGACAAATGGTACTCTTCACGGACACTGAGACCAAGAGCAGCAGCACATCTGGTGAGATCATTGCTGGTATAGTTGGTAGTGGAAGTTGATGGTCTCGCATCTTCATCCTTCATAGAAAACATGATTAATAGTGGGAAGTAACAGGGAAGTAAGCATTAAAAACAATTGCTAAAAGTACTAATATACATGTAATATTAAGCATAGCCTAGGATATATCTAAATGTTATACTTTAAAACGTGTATGACAAAAAAATTCAGGTACTTTTTAATAGATTTGATACATTTTGTCTTCGTTTATGCCTGTTATACATTCAATCTACGTGTGTTACTTGGTGCTTATGTGGTCATGGTCAAACCATGGGTCAGACACAACACATTCATAAAGTTAGCATTGAGACTTACATTAATGACCACTTCGGCCTCAAACGTTTCATTCCGCGTCGAAACCAGTGGCGTAGCATTAGTCGTAGCTGGAGCGGTGGTTGTTGAAGAATCTGCAAAAATTGATACTCCAAACTTTTCCACTCCCACTCTCCCAGCGAGCGCGATGTTCGAGTCGTTCTCCACGTAGTTGGCGGGACTCCGTGTTTCATAAACACAGGGTGTGTTCGTTTGATGTGGCGAAAAAATTAGTTGAAAACTCTGAAGTCCTGGTCACATCCATTAATTCCGCAATGAACCCGAAACTCTTGACTACGTCCATGTGCTGTATTGATGTGGCTAAGAAGCGTCTTCAGTGACAATGCTGCAAAAATAAGACAGATCATACACCTCCACAACGCCATGTCTGCGTGCGTTCGGGTCGTCTAGCTTCCAGTTTCCGGATTGATCCGGATATTCAGAAATTATATCTACTGACACCTAGGCTATAAGATTCAATGTAGAAAAGGAGCTAGGAGCTAGGAGGTAGACAGTACGTTACACTATATGGATCTGTCCTAATGATACGCGCATGCGCCGACCGCCAAATGTGTCTCCGTCATCGTCTTTGCGCTTTGCATACATCTCGAACCTGCGAGTGAATGTCTTCTTTTCCACGTTCGAAGTGACAAACCAAGGTCAGTATCCTACGCTGTCTTCTCTTTTCTAAATGAGGATAATTGTATCGTGTATAACACATAGACTGTATAACACCGGTACAATCGAACACATGCTGCGTTTAGTTAATTTTGAGTAGGCTAGCATGAACTAGCCTGCTAATGCCATGGCTAATGCTCGTTAATGCTGCGTCACGATGGCGTCCCGTGTATGGATCTATTATAATAACGGTCCGTGGTACAAGAAAGTTTACAGTCTATTGGTACAAGACATGCTAACAATACAGATCTTGTTAGGTCGTCCCTGAAGGAGAAAAATGTTTTTTTTCAATTTCATATAGACATTTTATGTTTATGGCTTTATCCTTTTTTAACAATAAAAGACTGCGGCACTATGCAAAGAGTTTGAGTTGCCACGTGCGCTGCTACTTTTAGCCTACTAGCTGTTAGCCTATTATAACTTTTATTTCTTTTTCCCCAGAGCCTTTGTGTTGAGACTGTAATTGCTAAATATGGCACTGGAGGGACTGAACGAGGGTATCCGTTCAGTGTTGGAGGGTAAGTATTTAAGGATGTTATACTTTTTGTTTTTATAGCAGTGCTCCCACCCAGACTGGGTGTCTGGGAATAATTTAGTGTTATGTGCTTCAGTTGTTCAATTAAAAAATCATTAGTTTTAATTTAAGTTTAGATCAAATTCTACATTTTAGATGTAGTAGTAGTAGTAGTAGTATAGGCTGAGACTGGGGGTCCCGTGGTTAACAGAACCCCTGTCTAGAGAATGTGATGTCTACTGTCTTTGGTTATGAAATGCAGAGTGAAAAAGAAGAAAATGACCTTACTTGATTATGGCATAATTAATTCTTGAAATTACTAATGTCTTTTTTATACCTGTTCTGTTGCAGCTGCTAATATTGATGAAGCAATACTGACTACAATCAATCGTGAGGATCTTAAAGACTTATTTCCAGGTGCTGCGAATTTTCTACAAAGGAAACTATGGGATTTCATCTGCAAAATGGTATTTTAAAGCATTTGCTCAAAATAAAGTAATTGTAGTTTACTATTATGTTTTCATACTCTCACAGAAAGGAAATTCTGACCAGAATGCCAATACCACTGTATATGACTTAACACCATGCCAGTCTCAGAGCTCATCCCCCAGTTTGCCTCAGAGCTCATCTCCCAGCTCACCAACTACCAAAAGCATTAAACTGCCAGCTCCGCCTGAATACGTTGTATACACAGATTCAGAGTTGGATGTTGTGCGCTCCCAGTACTTTTCAATGCTCCGTGAAGGAAATGTGAGCGATTTTAAAATATCGAAGGAGCTCTGTTGCAGACTTGTTCGCAACACTATCACTAGCATGATCGCAATGCTACGTGCAAGTCCCTTGGGTAAAGAAACCAAATACCCTTCTAAACTGGAACTAAGACTAATGGCTCAGAAAATGGTGGATTACTTTCCAATGTTGCGTGATCCTGACCCACAAATGCCATACGTGAGTCTCCAGTAACCATTTATTTTCTATAAACAGACATTATTATTTTTGTTTTTGCAGTTGACTATCTACTGTAAAATGTTTAAGCGACTTCAAAATATGAGGTCTCCAAGGAAGAGGCAAGGTTCTGTTCCACAACGAGGGAAGGCAAATAAGTCTTTATTTGACTCGGACAACACTGATGCAGATGGCACTACACATTCTTTTGACTCTGATTGTACCATACCTCTTGAGAGCCACGATGATCTCAGCGATGACAACCAAAGTGGTAAATACTTGTTTTAAAAAATTAGTAATGTTGCTATGTTGTTAATTATGTATTTGCACATTCTTCCAGCCAAGTGTTTCTCGCCAGAGAGATCCTCTACCCCTTGCTCCTCCAAACCGGTGGCTTCAAAACCAAGACCCAGAAATGATGGTATGGCCTTTGTTTTACCAAACTCTTTGATTGATTTTGATAAAACAAATGTTTAATTGTCAACACAATAATTAAATGTTGTTCTCATCCTTGGAATCTTGATTACTTCTGTAAAATTGCATTGTATGAACACAGATATGGACAAGTTTACTTTGCTTAATTTACTGTTCTTAACTCATGACATTCCTTTTTTTATTTTGTATAGATAAACTGATTAAATCAAACATTTCAAGCGTAATGCCATCAACGTCTGGCTCATCATCCTCACTTGTGAAATCTAATGATAATGGTATGATTTTTTTTGTTTTTGTTGATAATCTTTGATTCACTTAACGGTTGAATCAAACTTATACCCAATTTAAAAACTTCAATAACTCATTCTATAAGGCAAGCTTTCGAAAAAGCATGTGTATTTGTACCACATATCGGCTCCCTTTGATTCTCAATACCCTCTGAATATTTTTTTTTTTTAATGACATTGTGTGGCAAACATATTTAGGAAGTAAATTAAATGTGCATCCTTAACCTTTTCTTGTTTTCAGCTGAAGTGGACAGTCTGAAAGTGCAGGCCAGGCACTATAAAACTTTAAGTGCAATGTATAAAAAAAAAAATTCAAACCCCAACCAGAGTGACGTTGCTCAAGTACTAAACCTAGAGTTCAAAGCACGTCGGGCGTTCATAGACTCAAATGTCACGCGTGAGGAAGAGAGGCCTGCAAAAATATTGCAAGCCTACCCATGCTTTAAGGACCCAAAACATATAAGGCCAATTTCTTTGATAATTTGTAGATAAGGTGTTTCATTTGTGTTCATTTGTTTTAGGCTATAGATGAGCTGTGCCGGATTGTTGGGGGCACCAACACCAAATACCTCCTGGAAACCAAGGAAAGATGGTCAGATTTTTCTAAAAAAGTCCAATTCTTTGGAATTTGGAAAAAGGCCATGACGCCTCCATTGCCTTTGGATGTTCATGGAGGTATTTTCAGGTTTTAACTTATTTGAACCATAGACCTGTTGTGATGTTCAATTTCTTTCAGCGGATTTTATGATTGGTGTCTTGAGCGCACTCCCTTCACTTTTCCCTTCCCCAGCTGTACCCCCCAAAAAAATGGCAAACGCTAGTGAATCTCTGATTCACATACTCAAGGTAATTTTTCCAAAAACAATCTTCTTCTAGATGGAGGGAGATTCTCTTGTGCACTCTAGTTAATTGATTTTGCTTTCTTCTAGTCTGAGGAGGACCCGGCCCTCTACTTGACAAAGCGTCCGCTATTCACACCACTACTACTCTTCGATGGAACAACGTGCATAATTGCAGTGGGCAATGAACCAATTTGCACCCTTTCGAAAGAGGACATTTCTGAGGCAATGTTGGTGATAATGGCCTACTACTACACATTGCACCTTACATATCCAAAGTGTGTTGCAACAGTCCTCTCGGTGATCCAGACAGAGGTAATCCTTGATGCTATTCATGAGCAAGATGCCACCTCTGCTTATCGTAAAGCAATAGCTGAATGGAGAACCTTTTTTTTCTCAAAGTAGTTAAACTGCTGACAAAGGTGACACTTTAAGTGGTCACAATCCACCGCAAGATTTGCGTGCGCTGCCATCTTGCCTGATGCCATTTTTGCATGGCTGCTGCCATGTAGTAATGGCGATGCATGCAGTTGCAGTGGATTTTAGTCTTGTTTCACAATATTCTGAGATTTATTGTTCTTAACCCAAGTTTTTTTTTTTTGGATGACTATGTTAGAACTTTAGTGCCCAATATTTTTATTGTACATTTTATCAGTGTCATCTCTGGGTAATTGTTCAGAATGTTGGAAGTTGCTTTGATTGCAATAAATGTTAATTGCTTTACATTTTCTCTTTTTTTCATTATAGCAGTTATAGATCAGTCTTGTTTTGAAGAACTTGTTTTAAGATTAATGCTATTTATTTAAAGTAAAATCATCTTAGTTCAGGATATTAAAGTAACAATCTTAAGTTTCATTATCTATCTTTTTAGATAATGGTTTTAATTTTGAGATGAATGATCTTGATTCAAGATATTCTAGTACATTTTTTTACTTATTTTGAGTAATATCAACTAAAGATGGATAACTTATGTAAGGAGATTATTATTTTAGTACTTAAATTAAGCATATTTCACTCATAATGGAGTCTAAAATTTGGTGATTTTGTCTTGAAATAAGCCAAATACTATTAAATTTGATTAGCTTGTTTTAAGATATAATTATCTTAAAATAAGAAATCTTACCAAGTCAAATTATCTTGCTGCATGGACAGATAATTCCACTAGTTTCAAGTAGATTTATCTCAAAATATAGCACATTTATCTTAATTTTAGGTACTCATAATTTGCAGTGTATCTCCAAACATGCAGTAAAACAGCTGCAGTATATTCAAAATGCTGCAGCCCGTCCTGACTAGAACCAGGAAGTACGACCACATTAGTCCGGTCCTCAGGTCTCTGCACTGGCTTCCCGTGGCCCAGAGGATAGACTTTAAAGCAGCTCTCCTGGTGTACAAGTCTCTCCATGGCCTTGCACCAAAGTACATCCATGATATGCTAGTCCCATATGAACCAGCCCGGACTCTGAGGAGCGCAGGGACGGGACTCTTGTTAGTGCCCAGAGTCAGGACTAGACAGGGGGAGGCTGCTTTTCAGATTTATGCAGCTAAAGTCTGGAACAGTCTTCCATGTTCAAATCCATGTTAAAGACTTTTCTTTTTTCCTGGGCATACAACTAAAGAATTTTATCTTTTTAACACACCTTGTTATTTATTGTTGTAACTTTTTGTGTTTTTAACTATTTTATTGTTTTTAATTACTTGTGTGATTCTTATGTTTTTAAATTACTTATGTGATTTTAATGCTTTTTAATTACATATGTGTTTTTAATTGTATTTTAATGGTGATGATTTGTGCATTGTGTGGTGTGGACTGTGAGGCGCTTTGTGTTGCCCTGTGCAGGAAAAGCGCCCTATAAATAAAGATTGATTGATTGATTGATTGATACTGTATATCAATCACATTTGTATTTTGCATTCAAAGCAAATAACAAATGCATCTGAAATATAATCGCTCTTAACAACAAGGTGGGCAGGTTGATCCCAGCCCTCCATACAAACCCATTTCACAGCTATGAATGAATGCTGCATAGGATAAAGAAATTTAACAAAAGATATTTAACAACCAGTATCTATAAACCCCATGTTTCTAGTCATTTCTGTACAGTTTTTCTGCACCTTTAGCACTTTGTATGCAGAGCCATACATCTTCCTTGAGCAGCATTATATGATAGGAGAGGCGACCCCAGTGCTTTCTCTTCCCTCTCCTCCCTCTCTTCCCAATCACAAACTTGCCCTTGATCTTGGGTTACAGCTGATTCATAGTAAACACGCAGACAGGTGTATTCATAAAACAGTGCTCCCAGCCCTGCGGTGCACATCGCCACTGCAATGGACAATTTATCAACCCAACAATGTTACGGCTGCTGCTATACTCGAGGGTTAGGGTGACTGATGAGAGTGAGCAATTCAAAACAATAATAGGTGACTGAGCATGAGGTGATTGAGCAACAATGGTATCAGTTTGAGCCAGTGGGAGCGGTTGGCTGACCTATCACGGTCATAAGGAGGCGGGCTGACATCTTTGAATTCTGATGGGATTTCGCTACTTCTGATTGCAGGAGCGGAAATACACTGGGTAATCCTATGGCGACTTTCCATGAGTCAAAAACGGCTTTAGAGCGTGGTCAAAAGCTCTTGGCTCAATGCCAAATTCTATGTCAATCTACGTCCATGTGCGTCAATAACTAGGTCTCTTAGACAATGTGGATTATTAACTAATTTGATCCCAAAAAGTCAGTTTAGTTTCGTTTTTAAATGTTTTTTTTTTTTCATGACGGAAGTACAGTCTAACACGCATTTTTGGGATTTTGGGAACTCTATGATTAATGTAACTGAAAACAACATACGCTTTTGAATCAGTCACACCAGAAACAGTGACGTCAGCTCAAAACCAGATCACCTATTTGTGTGTGTTTTACAGTGTACATCAGTTATTCATCATGCTACCCACAATCCAACCATTTATCTCAGCTTTAGTAGCTAGTCCACAGAAACAGTAATCCAAAAGCTATATTCCACGCTCGACATGCTTCTGCTGCACACACATCCACTGCTGCAACCAGCGTCATAAAGTCATCAACTGGCGCCCCGCCGACCCGTTCAATCTGGTCCGCGCCTGTATCAAAATTGCAAAAATTGAATGCAAAAAAATAAAAGGAATTTATTTTTGTACTTTATTATTATTATCTTCCGTATTTTCTCTGTAAACAATTTAGTGAGATATATATCTATATTTTAATAATAATAATCAATGGCTCGTTTTGCCCCTGGAAAAGCCATTTACCAGCTTCTTCTCTGAGGCAGAAAATATTGTTTGTTGCCAATTTTTCCTTGTTTTGTTTGCTTTATTTCTGTACTTTTAACATTGTTTTAAGTATGTACTTGTCTTGTGCACACTGGGGACTTTTGCAAATGTATTCCAATGTGGTTTTACCGCAAATGGCAAATTAATTAATCTGAATCTGATTTAATTTTCTCTTTGGGGGTCTGGTAAAACTCTGGCCCTCTTACAAATATAGTAGATGACCCCTGCCATATGGTCTTTGCATGGCAAGCATGTCTGCTGCTGAGCTAAGGACAGGACTCCCTCCTTTAAACCCCCCCTCTGTGTACAAGGGCATCTCCGTAGACATCTTTGAGGGCTGAAACACTGATGGCCTCTGCATCTTGTCCCTGTGCGCGTCATGTAGAAAAAAACTTGTGTGGTCATGCCTCGACGTGACGCAGCACTCTATCCTGCCCAGACGCGTCCCCCCTTGCATTCATGCGGGGGTTGGTAGGCTATAAATAAACTATAATTATCTTACAAGCGCCTTAACTGATAAAAGTAATTAAAAAAAAATTAAGTGAGATGCTATTTTTTTTCTTCGTTCTTTTCATCTCATAAAAGAGCCATTATCTTGGTTTTTGTGGTGAAATCAGGTATCTTGGTGAAAATCAGGTCCTAGAAATTGCACGCCATGCAGCAGTAGGAGGAACACGTGAAAACTGTCATAGTCCTCTACTCATTTGTCCTTGTTGTTGTTGTGGTTGGGGTCCAAACGTCTAATCCAAACAAAGCTGAGTCAGAGTTTAAGCCCTGGAGCTCTCCCGTCAACATCAGTAAATATGAACCAATCCAATAGCTGCATTAGTATATTTGATGATAGTAATAATAATAGCTTCACAAAACTAAATATGGTAAATAAAGTAACGTCTTTATCACCACTACAGACAATGCTTCACCATCAAACGCCTTTAGTTAACTCTCTGTAGGATATGTGCATGTTAAGAATAGATGTGGCTCAAGGGGGCTTCGTCAAAACGATTCACCATCATGCAGATAATAACGGCAATATACATACATTTTTTATTTTATTTTTTAAGAGACTGTAGCCGTGCAGAAATAATAAATGAAATGGGATAACCTATGTCAAAGTTAGTATATTGTCCAATCTATCTACACACACGAGAATGTACAGCTACACTAAAGATAGAGCAAAGCATGGCAGCTTGAATGTAAATGAGATGAGCCTGGCATGGCTAATAACACAACTGTTCATTTGTGACTCACGCTGAGCCTCACACTGCTATGGAATAAATTCACACTACTCTTTGATGAAGCTAATTTCAAAGTTCAAATTTCTCACCATCAAAACTAAAAAACTAAAAAATAATGTAAAAAACAACTTATGGCGTTTTATTGACTGACTGACTAGAACCAGGAAGTACGACCACATTAGTCCGGTCCTCAGGTCTCTGCACTGGCTTCCTGTGGCTCAGAGAATAGACTTTAAAACAGCTCTGCTTGTGTACAAGTCTCTCCATGGCCTCGCACCAAAATATATTAGTGATATTTTAGTACCATATGAACCGGCCCGGACTCTGAGGAGCACAGGGACTGGACTCCTGTTAGTGCCCAGAGTCAGAACTAAACATGGGGAGGCTGCTTTTCAGATTCATGCTGTTAAAATCTGGAACAATCTTCCTGAAGATGTGAGACAGGCCTCCTCTCTGACAATGTTTAAAACCAGGTTAAAAACAGTTCTGTTTAGCTGTGCATACAACTGAGGGATTTTATATTTTTATCTTTCTTTTTAATGTTCTGTGATTGTTTATGATTTTAATGCTATCTTGTTCAGCACTTTGAATTGCCTGTATGAATGAATTGTGCTATACAAATGAACTTGCCTTGCCTTGCCTTATTGATTTTTTTCTTTGCCAGAGAAAGTCAGAGACAAAATGATGCAACACAACAAAAACTCATTTTTCAAAGCGCTGTACTTGTGAGATGTGTTTCCCATTGGGTAGAGCAAGAAACCATTCCCTGTCAAACCATCAACTAACCCTGTAATTTCAAAGATGCTCAAAGAAATGCTTGGATATTCCCTGAACCATCTTTCTACTATGATGTGACACACGTATTCATGGTATAACGGTTATTTGTTTAACTACTTTGTCTAATCTATGTGCTTTTACTGCAAGCTGGGTTCATTTCCCAAACGTTCTTCGCACCTAAGGCTGAACAATGTGACAACAAAAATTAAATTGTGACTTGATCCTGTGACAATCTGCCATTCTGAATATATTGTCGGCGAGTGAGTCACCGATCTTATCTTTTCCCCGCTCAAACAGTGACACTTCCCCTCCCACTCTCTGTGTCTCTGTGTGACTGACAGGTGCACAATTGCAGTATATGTGAAATTTCTTAAGAAACAAGTAATTGCATTTACCTTTTCTTCAACAGTGAAACTAATTTAGATTCTAATTTGAAAAAAGAGCAACCTGTACACAGACTGTACTCGGTTATGTGAGTTCAACTGAGATGAAGACACTGTGGGCGATATGGCAAAGATTAATAAATACCACAAGGTTTAACATCTAAACTCAAAACAAAGTTATAAACACAGTTATATTAGATTCAACTGTATTATCATTACCATATCCAGTACATATGAAGATACACTCTAAATACACAAATGGTTCTCTGCTAGCCTTCTACCTCAGTCCCAGTGTGCGTGTGCTCTGAGCAGAGGCGAGGCCGAGGCTAAGTGTGAGGCTCTGGAGCAGCCCCATCGTCCTGCGGCTTTCACACAGATAGAGCTCATTATGACCATCTTGAAATCTCTCAAAAAATATCTGTTATAAGCGCCATGCACTTGCCACGTGGTGAAATAACAAAATAAAAAAAGGACTAAAACAAAATTGTGATTTAATGAAAGATAAATCAAAATCCAGGTTAACAATAAAACACAAAAATCAACAAGCCAGGTACAAGAGCGGGATAGACAATGGACGGACAACAAGTGGGTAAAAGAACAGGGTATATATACACACAGGGAGACACAAACAATCAATGGGACAGGAAGGAAAACTCAAAAACTCAAAGCTGAAAAAAAAAAAACTCCTCACCATGACAGCACAAAACTATTGTTATAAAAGTGCCAGTTTTAACTAGAGACCAGACCAATGGAGAACATAGTGTATTACATCACTCTCTATTGTTCCTCTCCCTGGACGTATCTCAACTTGAAAAGGGAAAACAAAGTGGAAGAAAGTGATTATTCCTCTATTGTTGAGGTTGCATGCCTGGTACACCGCAATAAGGTGAGATTGGTGTTCAAAGCTGTCACCAGGGATTGTGCAGGTTCATTACAGCTGTCAAGTTGTGAAGAAAGGGTCAAATGTACGCTTAAAGAGCTTACACTTAAAAACAAAAACAAGAATCTACTGTGGAATGCTATTGTTGGCCTAAAACTTTAAACATTGAATCAAAGTGATATGTTTTACCTTTTGAGATTGCCGCAGTTAATGGCAACAGCAAGAAGTAGTATAAGTTAATTCAATCTTCCATCAAGTATTTGAGCATTCAAACTGGCAGTGGTTAACTGTAAGTTAAACACAAGCACAACTCCACACCGACCCGGAATGACAGAGAGCAACTCCTTTGGGCAATCCAAATAAATGTACTCAAATTGTGAGCTGGCCCGTGAGATGGGATACAGTAAGAAGCCCATAAAACCATTTACATTTCTTGGTGCTAAGTTAAAATATGTGTTGTTGGCATTTGAACCAACATACAACATATTATGACGTCTAAATCCACTTGGGAGCTACTTGGAATGGTCTGTAAGCAGTAGTAAGTAAGGAATGTTTATTTATATAGCGCCTTTTACAGACCAGAGTCATAAAGCGGTTTACATTTGTGGCATTTGTGTCTCACTCAGAGATGGGAGCGAGGTCGCCGTACAGGAGGTGCATGCCAGACCTATTGTACATGCTTTTAGTGGTAGGGGACACAGGAGCACCCAGAGGTAAACCTACGCAGACATGGGGAGAACATGCAAACTCCACTCAGAAAGACCCTGTTCCGACCAAGATTTGAACCCAGGACCTTCTTGCTAAGAAGCGAGAGTGCTATCCAAGAGGGTAATGAGCTACTGGAAGCTCTTGACCTAAACCAGTGTCTCCCAAAGTGGGGTCCGCGGCCTCCTGGTGGGCCGCGAGGGTACTGCAGGGGGGCCGCGGGAGGTCATAAAAAAAAAAAAAAAAAAAAATATTATTATTTAATGTTAAATTTATAATGTTTTGTTTGTAATATTAAAATATTTGTGTTCATTATTTGACTTGAATAATCCACTGTAATCATTTTTGTATTACAATGTTTGTAGCAGAGGCTATTTCCCCAAAATAAAATAACCAGAAGAGCCTATTCTTAATGTTGTCTTCTTGGTTATTATTTTGGGGGGCCACGCAGACCCGTCGGATTTTTAAGGGGGCCTCGGTGTTACTGAGTTTGGGAATGGCTGACCTAAACCAATTCAAGCAGTGGCTATTACAGCGAACACATAAGCACAGTCCACTCAGAGATGGAATCACACACTTTATTGTTGTGATAGAATAACATGTTCCACTTGAGCAGATAATGAGAGCGCTCTCCTGTGCTGTTTCATAAGACCGGGGCTCATTCAGCTGTGGGCCGCGGTGCTCATTGTTCTGGCAACAACATTGTCTCCGATCGCAGATGTTCTCCCCGACACACGAGCGCTCAGGTGCAGCTGCTCTGAAGAGGCTGACAGGGCGGCTCTCCGTGCACACAAGAACACATATCGCCCGCTGCAGCGGCTGAAGCATGTCTCAGTGCACGCCACAAGAAATGTAAGCATTTAAAGGAATGCCACTCACATGCTCTCCACCGCCTGTGCATCCATTATCTCCTGCTGCTGAGCCAGATCCCAAACACACGATCTATCACGGAGTACCAGCACACTGTTATTTTCTCATACGCAAAACAGTGATTACGGATGGCTTACAAAAGGGATGACAAAATGGATCACACTGGAAACAAAATTACAGTTCAAACTGTTGCCTTTATCAAATTGAAAAGGGTTGTAATTATTTTGAGTACAAATGCAAACAATAAAACCCCAGTAAAACAAACAGATTAAAAATAAGGTGGAAAAAAATGAAGGAGACAAAGGGGAATAAACCTGTTCCACAGCCTCAGCCTTGCACCGCGTAGCCTCAGCCCTCGTTCTACAACCTGAGTCTGGGATCTAAAGCCTGTACATGGCAGCAGATCCCTCTCTCAATGTAGTTTCTCACTATTTCCCACTGTTTTTTTTTGTTCTATATTCAAGTTGTTCCTTGCAGATATGGGAGGGGCAAAAGGGCAGTTGTGATGATTCAGAAAACTCCACATTCAACAACATTTATGGACATTTGTCATCTTCCCCTTTATTGACCATGTATTTTTTACCATTGAATTTATTGTGTTTGAACTGTTTGATTCTCTGATCCGTGTTGGCGAATTCAACGGTTTTGTAAAGTCTTCCGAGATAACTGCTGTCGTGACTTAAGGCTATACAAGAAGAAATTGAATTGAATTGAACTACGCTAACCCTTTAAACACTTTCAACCCAACACAATACTCTATGAAGAATGTTGAGCTGTTTTGATGTTTGATTCGCTGATCTGTGTGGGCAAATCAACACATTTGTAAAGTCCTCCGAGATGACTGCATCGTTTTAGTGCTAAAAAAAAAAAAGGCAATTGAAAATAGTTTTATTGCACATTGATGGTTGCAATTAAACCCTATCGAACAAGTCCATACATTTCTGTACATTTTCTTCACGTTCAAGGTTACAAGATGCCCGCGTCTGCTTGCTTACATCTCCAAACCATGGTGCTGACCTAGCTTCGAAACACAATCTACCAAGCAAGCACGCTGCCATTTTCAGACTTGCCCCGCTCAGGGAATAACAAGAAGATATCAAAGGATCTGCAGTGCAAATGAGCCACTCCAATCTTCTCCTCACTTCTAATGATTTCTTAATCCATGCAGCACATTATAAATCATCGGCTTTAGCTGCACACTGGCTTACATCTTATCATTAATAAGCTAACCCCGCTCACATCGGAGTGAATTGTCATATTCATCAAGTACAGCAGCGGTGGCGGCGTTCGGCCTGCTGACTCCATACCTCATATCTAATGGCAAACTCAGATAAGCTTTTTCAATTAGGAATGGATGCTCAATTAAGCTCTTGCTCTATGAAGCCAACCGTTTTGTTGGATTGCGCCTAATCGCTCACTTATGTCCAGAAAACTTTGGCAAATCAATGGCCAGCTCGATTGGAAAATGTGTTGATTTCCACAGTGACAACAAAGGGGTGTTTTTCAGAGATAGATACAAGATAATTCACTCTGTTTACACACAGTCAGTACTGCCAAACAGACTACACTTGTACCAGTCAGCAGAAAAACACCAGGAATTTAGTTAACTATATAAGCATACATACTAGTAGGGTTGCACAATATTGGAAATTAGAGTAATATGAGTGTTTAGTATTGCGATAATTATATTATTGCAATATTTTTTTCTTTCACCTAAAATTGCAATCTGCATTGAAATGCAAGAGACGAATAACAAAAACATTTTGACATTCAAATGCATATATTCATATACTTGTTTGTTTGTTGTATTTGTTGAATGTTGATGTGTCTGTCTGTTTTGTTGTATTTAATAAAAGAAAAAAAGAAAATAAAATAAATAAATGAGACGTTTTTCTTTTTTTTTAATCGCGCATTTTTTTGATAGGATGGATATTGCAGGCACCAATATTGTGATAACTATATTTTTTCGATATATCGTGCAGCCCTACATACTAGGCAGCTGGGATTTTAAAAGCAACACTTTTGTCTAATAAAAGCTAATCTTTTGTTTATGTTTTTTTTCCAAGTCTATAGATCACGAACAGTGGAAATAACTAATAATCACTAGTTTCCTGCTGTTCCACCAGCCTGCTGTACCTTACGTCCCAGACACAGTGCACACTTTTGTCTCTGCTTTCTGCAGTGGGTGCGGCGGCTGATGTCACATACGTGTCTGTGGTAGAAGCCTGGAGCAGCTGACGTGCCACGTGGCCAGGCGCTCATCAGCCCAAAATATGACCCATGTTTCAGTCATAATATAATACATGCAGTACTTGCGTTAATCCCGCAATAAAAAAATGTGCGGTTAACGACGTCATTATTAACGTGTTTAACTGACAGCACTGATATATATAATATGCATACAGATCCATGTAAGCTGCAACCAGCTGATGGAACATAAAAAAAGCCTATTTTAACTGAACCCAACAGGATTTTAATGGAGGTATTTTAATGCACTGTTGACTTGTGATAATCAAAGCACTCTCGTAAATCTATTGACTTGCTTCCCATTCTTATTAAAGCTTGGGAAAATTAAAATATGCACAATGGTCATATTGATTTATAGGCCACAGGGTACAAATAACTTTATAAAAAAGTAGCCGCTTATAGTCAAGAAATTACTGAACCTTTAAAACACTAGTGTATGCAAGCACAATGACCGAGACGTTTTTCCTGCTTCAGAACTTGAACTTGGCAAACTTGGCAACCATCACCAGTGGAAGCTACAACCTCCATTGCATGCCATTCAAAACATTTTCAACATGTTAATAAATGCAGTTGTATTTACACAAATCAATATTTGTGTGGACACAGCTAAAAACAACTCTAGGTAACTCACACAACACTTACACTTATATCTATGAACATCTTCTAATTCTTGCTTCTTCATTATGCTAAAGCTAGAGATTCGAGATTTGATTCTTTATTATGGTAAAGCTTGTGTTTTTAGATTTCCTTCGTTATCATGCTAAGGCTAGAAATTGTATACTTGCTTCTTTGTTATGCTAACGCTAGAAATGTTATGCATGCTTCTTTATTACGGTAAAGCTCGAGATTTTAGATTTGCTTCCTCATTATGCTGACGTTAGAGATTTTTTTCTTTCTTCTTTATTATGCTAAAGCTAGGGATTTTATTTATTGTTAATTTATCGTCCTCATTCCTACTGTTCTGTAACAAGTAGTGCAACACTGGACTTTCCCCACTCTGGAACAAATAAAGCATCTCATAATCTCAATCTGGACATCAAGCTACACACAGTCTCAATCCCACCTGTGCTGTCATTGGCTTGACTGGCTATACATGCATTTTACATTGATGCAGGCCATTTGTCAGATTATCCTGTCGCCGTCTGATTGCGAACACCTCATTGCTAAAAGAGAAGTTCTCTGATGTAGCGACTTACCTATAATGTGGAGGAGGACTGCCTTCCGCCTGACATGTAACTGCGGCCTGGCGGTTTGGTGAGTTGATTGGTAAAATGAGGTCACTTGGCTCAGTCGTCCATCTTGGCCCCTGAAAGATGACATCCTCTGTGCAAGCTGGAAGAGAAAAGGAAAAGTCTATACTCAAACAAGGCGGACAAATGTGTGACCTAAAGGAGAAAATAGAGGAGCCATGCAACAACAGCCCAAGCAGCACTTTATCTTCCTCACCACTGGCAACTTTCTGGCACTCAGTTGATATTAGTTTTTCACAAGTATATAAAGGCTGTCTTCTGCCCTGCTGCTTTTTTTCCTCAAAAACAAATACTATCTATTTTGGTCTCCCTTGTTCAGTTGTTTTGACCAAAACCATGTGTTTCTGAAAAAAAAAAAAAAAAACACACAAAAAACCTCCATTCAAGCCATTCCAATAAATAATAAATGCAGTTGTGTTTACATTGAAAATATATATTTGTGTGGACACAGCTAAAAATGACTCCAGGTATCACACAGTGGGGGCGGGTCCTGGCTCAAATTGCCAAAATGACGTGCGCTGACATGCTTGCAATACCACCCCGGGCCGATGGGGGTGGACCCAGAAGTAGAATTAGCCAATGCTAACATATAGCGTTGGCAGACCTCTCAAAAACGTCTTTACAGAATGGACCAAAAGTTGACTCTTGGCCCAAAGCTCCGTTCCACATGTGTGTAGGGCTGGGCGATATAAAGCGGTATGCAATATAAATTTAGCCCACGGTAGAGATTTTTGTTATACCACTGGAAACAACGAACAACAGCACGGCATTAACACCGTGTTTCTGTCTATGTATTGTTGTCACAGCGGCCCCAGCAGAGGTAAATACACACACAGTAATCACAGTTTAAGAGTCTACCTTTTGGCCAATCAGTGTCAAAGGGGCGTAGGCTCGAATCCATGCGTGTGCCGTGTCCGCAGCATCACAGCAGAAGTTTGCGAAAGTTAGCGTCAGATTTGGACCTCCGCGGTCAATATCTCACGAAAGCTACTTTGTTAAACAAAATTAATTGTGCCAAAATGATCATTTACATCAATTGTTCAAATCCAACGTGCTGTTTTAATGCAGATAAATCCATTGAATCATCCAGTTCACTGCAAGCGCAGAGAAAAGCGCTTAGGGAGCGTCTACAAATTGCAAGACCAGCTTTGTAAACGAACAATAGCTTTTACTGAAGCCATGTACACACAAAACTCTCAGACACTATAAATAATGACCATGTCTAACTCCTAGGCTTTGATTTCAACATTTGTGAGTTTTTTATATTTTAAATTAATGCATATGTTTTTCTTTTTAAAAATTGCTTCTACAGTGAATGGTATTTACTGTAACATACATAAATAATGTATGTTACAACAGTTGTCTCTTCAACTGATTTTCTAATTCAAAAAATATATATATTAGATTCTAATATATAAATAAGTAACAATCTTGACTATTTTATGCAAGAACCTGCTAGACCTATATTGAAATTCACACACCAAATTATACCGCAATATATACCGTGTACCGTCTGTGTCCTAAATTATACCGCAATATGAATTTTAGGCCATATCGCCCACCCCTACATGTGTGTCAATGCTGAGAGGGGGATGGATTTTTTTGGACCACTCTAGTTTACTTGCTGTGAATTTTTGAAGTCTCTCGTTCAAATGAATGGAGCTCTAGCTGGATGACGCATGCATGCGCAGATGCGTTTTTTCACAATTTTCTTGTGGGCGGGACCACTCGCGGCCATTTTGGATAGCTCCAGTAGAGCAAATTGTTTGGCCCATTAGTTAGAACGGCAGAGATAGGCGTGACTCTGTCCGATAATATATACAGTCTATGGCAGGGGTGCTCAATACGTCGATCGCGATCTACCAGTCGATCGCAAAGGTAGTATTGGTAGATCGCATTAAATAAATAAAAAATTACACATTCTAAACTAATATATACAAAAAACTCCGGGCAAAGTGGAGATTTTTGAAAACTCCGTTAATGCATTTGTGTGTAGACAGAGATAATCGGAGTTTTGCGTTCTCGCACGCCACAGTACCCCCCTAAATTCCTCTGATCACTGAAGCATGGATCATACTACCTTAAAAACTGTTCGCTGTGAGATGCTCGCAGCAGCGAACATCCTCCACATCAGAGAGCAGCAAAGTGATCGCGGGGACTCACGCTTGAAAACAACTAAACCAGGACTAAACCAGGACTAAACCAGGACTAAACCAGGGCTGAGGACGGGGTCAGTGCTTGTAAACATACGTCTTTACTCTGAGTGTCTTCTATGACTGTAAAAGTGCCGTTACCGGCGTCTGCATCAAAGCTCCGCCCACTTCTGTGTTTTTCCCCAACGCAGGACAGGACGTAAGAGACGCACATGTTTGGAATGTGATTGATAACGCAGATGTGTGGATGCAAATTATTTTATAAACGGAGGAGGGGAAATATTTGGATTTAAATAAACCAGGCATGGCACATGGACATGGCACCACAGTCAAATGACATCTGTGTTTTACTCAGTAATGTTTTACTGACACTTAGGTGACTGCACATGCGCAAACAACCGCGCTCAGTGCAGGAAAGCTAAACCACGACAAACTTGTCAGCGAGTTACCACCAATTTTCCGGACTATGCATCCCTGGCCGATTCAATTCAGTGCAAGTCATCAGAGTAAACTCGGGTAATGACAAAAAATGTACATAGGTAATTGTGTTGTGTTGTGCTATATTGGCTCATGCGGTTTTGCATGTACATAAACATATATTGTAGGTATAAAGAATATTTTTTGAAATAAATATATGATTTGCATTTTTGTAGTAGGTAGATCATTTTGACTTGATCCTTTTATAAGTAGCTCGCATGCTGAAAAAGTGTGAGCACCCCTGGTCTATGGTATCACACAACAGTCACACATACATCTACGAACATCTTAAGGCCTGTTTCCACGGGCTCGAACTCTATTCAACTTTACTTGACTTGACTCTCCCTGGTTTGCGGGCGCACCGGCTCGCTTTAACCGCTACCCGGTACTTTCTTAGTAACGGCTTTGCCCTGGTACTAGCTGGGCCGAGTAGATACCAAAACAATCTGACGTCGGCAAACGTCAACACTGATTGTTCAGAATATACTATCTATTTTCTCTCCATTGTTCAGTTGTTTTGACCAGAAAAACCCCCAAAAAAACAAGTTTGATAAGATCTAATTTTGTGAGATCAATAAAGTTTATCTTATCTTAATGTGTATCAAATAAAAATAGGGCAAATTAATAAACAAAGCAACCTTTTACTTTAATAATTTATTCATATAATAATTATACAGCTGACATGTTCCCACTGTGAGACAAACAGATCTTTTCTTAATATTATCTGATCGACACAAGCACGATTCCTGGAAATAGCATTGTGCAATAACTAGAGGTTATTATGTGCAAATATAAAAAGGATTCTTCAGTGGATTTTGAATATGGTAATAGACGTAGAAATGACAAAGCAGTGGTACAGTGTGTGCGGACTGTGTGGGAATGTGGCGTGTTGTCTTTGTTTGTGTTTTATAAGATAAGATAACTTTATTGATCTCGCAATGGAGAAATGTACAGTAAGTCACATTTGGCATAGATAAGGCAAGGCAAGTTTATTTGTCTAGCACAATTCATACACAAGGCAACTCAAAGTGCTGAACAAGATAAAAGAATTAAAATCATAAATAATCACAGTACATTAAAAATAAAGATACAAATATAAAATCCCTCAGTTGTATGCACAGCGAAACAAAACTGTTTTTAACCTGGTTTTAAACATTGTCAAAGAAGAGGCCTGTCTCACACTTTCAGGAATATTGTTCCAGATTTTAGCAGCATGAATCTGAAATGCAACCTTCCCATGTTTAGTCCTGACTCTGGGCACTAGCAGTCCCTGTGCTCCTCAGAGTCTGGGCTGGTTCATATGGGACTAACATGTCCCTAATGTACACGCTAGATAGAATTACTCAGGGTGTGCAAAAAGACAAGAATTGTGCAAACATGTTGAAAGGTTAAAATAGTTTCTTTTGCGCAAGATATACAGTATCATGTACAATACAAATTAAAAGTGACTAAAGCAGAGCGAGTTTTTCAGTCCTTGTACAGGTCCTTAAAGTGACTTATTGTACAGTCTGACAGCGGTGGGGTCCTTCCACTGAAGGAGCTCCTCAGCTCCTCTACAGTCCTGTGCAGTGGGTGGTAGGTGTTGTCCATGATGGAGGTGACTTTGACTAGCCCCCTCCTGTCCCTCACCTCCTCCACAAAGTCCAGGGGGCAGCCCAGAGCAGAGCTGGCCCTCCTGACCAGCTTGTTCAGTCTACTCCTGTCCAGCTCTGTGTTGCCCGGATCCCAGCACACGTCAGCATAGTGGATAGCAGAGGCCACCACAGGGTCATACAAAGTCCTGAGCAGAGGCCATTGTTCACTCCTTAGGACCTTGTTTGGTGTCATACTGCTAAAGCCAAGTCACATACAACGTCACATGTATTCACATTTACCGATGTTGTTCCTAACGCCACTCTATAGACCAATGGATTCTATGTGTTTGCTATTGTTGCATTTCCTGTGATAATATTGTTTGATACTCTGATATCCAAGTCATCATGATGACTGCTGTTGTGAATTAGGGCAATACAAAAATGCATTGAATTCAATCCAAAATAAAAACATGCATCTATGTATTATTGTACAATTGTATATGCTGAAGGTCGTGGGTTCGAGCCCACCATGAGACCTTCTCCACCGACTCCTACTGATGACTGCTGTCGTTCTGTCCTTGGGCAATTTACCTAACCCCACTTTGCTTGAAACCCCCCCCACGCTGGAAGCTCAAAGCTTCTGTGGACTCACCACCTGCAGGAGGATCAGTGAGGGGCTGGTGCTATGTGTACTGGGTGGCATCTCTGGCCACCCCCCTGACTCAGAAATGAATTAAGGGGTTGAAAATGGATAGATGGATGGAGGTACAAAGCACTTTTTAAGTGCAGAAACACACACACATGTCTTACAACCAAGTTGGAGTCATTGTGCGTCTGCCGTGAAAGCACTTAGCTGTCTTCGTAAAGAAAAGCCGACT